CTTCTAGTGAACGGAACTGGTCAACTTGGGGAATTGTTCATAATAAATTAAGAAACAGGTTGACCCCTACAAGATCTGGTAACTTGTTTATGTTAAATATAATTTAAATATAATAAACAAAAATGGAAGGGTTACTGACCTCAATGTAAGTTCATCTTCTGAAGCTGACATGTCTTCGTCTTCAAACATCGACATCCATGACATCGACTATGAAGATGAAGATGAGAACTTACCACTATCTACTTATGTCAATTAATTAGAATAAAAGTATTTTTAAAATAACTTTCAAATGTTCTCTGTTTATTTTAAGTTAAAATAGAAATATGTTTTTCTTAATTTTCTAATTTTATTTTTTTTGTTTTAAAATTAAAATATTTTTTTGGGGTGCGTCTTAAACCGGGTGCGTCACCGGTTTGGTCAAGTGGCTCACCCCTATAACTTTTTTATTTTTTTAGATAAAAAAACGAGATTTGGTATGTTAGTATAATGACATAAATTAGGATTAATTAACGTATTCAATTGTTCTTGGTCACTTCCTGTTTTACCGGAAATGACTATATCATATCTCAATTTTTTCAAATGGAAGGAGGGTGGCTCATTAGCATATTTGGAAAAGGCATTTTTTACGAATAATTTGGTACCACACACTTGGTATTTCGAGTCAAAATATCGTTATGAATCGCATGTTGCAATTTCAAATAAATCATATGCGAAAATGTCAAAAGTTGACAAATGATACGTAATTCCATTCAGAGTATTATTTTCTATCGAATAAAGTAATAAAACACCGAGGGTGCCATTTAAAAATCAAAAGTTGTAGTCATTTCCGGTGAAACAGGAAGTGACCGAAAATAATTGAATACGTCAATCAATCCTAATTTATGTCACATACTAACATACCAAATTTCGATTTTTTATCTGAAAAAATAAAAAGTTTTAAGGGTGAGCCACTTTTGAGACGCACCCGGTATATTATTTCAATGATTATGTGAAATAAAAATTTGTTTCATTGTACTTTTAAAATTATTTATTATTTTGGCCAATTGACGAAAAAAAATTGACAGGTCAAATCCAACACCCTAGATGTAGGTATGCCCGAAGATATGCCTCTGTTTTAGCATTAAAATATTCACTTATAGTAACTTTTACCCTCAAAATTTCACTCAAATAGCAAAGTGTACGACCGGCTTTACATGAGAAATATCCCTACAAGATATGGCACATGCTTTTTGAAATACCATTTATACCTAATAGGTACTCAATAATGTTGAAATTTGTTTCTAGATAAGAACAATAGGTACTTGTCAATGACAATGATAGCAATACATTATTATAAATAATATCATATATTAAAAACCAATAATTTCCTAAACTAACTACACAGGTATATTTTTCCATTCATAATTTAATAAGTACACAGTGTCAAAATGTTTGTCATGTATAAAAATATTTTTAGACGTGGGAAAAATACACCTTAATCATCCCTATCTCACCTAGGTATTAAAATATGTTTTCCTCTCACAATAAACAATGCACTACCTATTAAAAAGATAATATATTTCATAAGATTAAAAGGTAACATAACCTCTCAACCACCCACAACAAAAATATTTTTCAGTCTTTTTATCAGGAAACCGTTAACCTACCTTGTGATAAACCCCTGTACGATCCATACAATACATCCACACGACAATATCCTAAAATTTAGCCGGTTTTCAAGCACCAAAACTACACAATCATGCAAAATATAAACTGAATCCTAAACGAACCGACACCAAAACACCACACCAACACCGCACGGCGAATCGGACTGAAAATGTTTATTTAGCGCCATGCGTCCGTCAGCGAATCGCGTTGTTGCCAGAGCGTCCCGCGATTAATCGAAAGATTCTTATTGAATACTCTCCGCGTTTGCTGTCAGTCTCTCGCAGATAGATAGGTAAATATTTTATTGCATGCAACACACCACTTACCTTGAGAATATTAATGACCAGTATTAAGCTATTAAAATGTTTTATTACACCACATTTTAATTCTAGAGGATGTATATACAGAATGTCCCCGGATATTGTCTTTTCAAAAGGAAAAACTTTGTTATTATTGATATTTTTAGAAAAATGCATTCTTCATACTATTTTTAACTTGTTCTAAAACGGTTAATCCCGTTTATACTTTTCTAAATTTCCACATCGTTTTAGAGAAAGAATTGGAATAAAAGGGATACAAGTGATTTTTTTCTAAATGCAGATGTAGATAATTTAACGTCATATTTTTTGCTCTCTTAAAATGTTAGAAAAGCACAAAATTTATTTAGTTCTATTTCAATGCTACGGAAAGGGTGATTAGTGATAATAATTATCGGATAATGTGATACTTTAAAAACAGCAAAAATTATGACGTCATTCAAAATTAATAATAACCATCTAACAAAGAATGAAATCATTATTATATTTTCACAGAAACGCCTTTGATTTTTAGGAGTTCAAGAAAAACTTCCTAAGAAAAATATTAACCACATTTTCATGTTTCTTTTAATTTTCTCTAAAATGGTATGGAAATTTGAAAAGTATAAACGGGATCATCCATTTTAGAAAAAACATTTTTTTATGAAGTATGCATTTTTTCTCAAAATTCCAATGCTTAATACAAAAGTGTTTTTCCTCTCGTAAAGACAATTTAGGGACATACTGTATATTATAATTTTTCTATGAACAGCAAATCGTAAACCAAGCTAAACTTAAATAACTGCTATGCAATTTAATTTAAACATTATAAAACTATTACCTTTGGATAAAAAATACAGAAAGTGTATTAAAAGTAAGTTTAAAAAATATAGTTGGCAACAGGGCGTCCGTAGTTGCGCATGTCTTTGTCTAGATTCAATAGAGGTGCATACGGAAATGTAATTTTACGATTTTCGCTGCATTTCTGGGACTATTTTCGGATTCGTTCGCCGAATATATCGAAAAAATAGAATTTAGACGTTTCTATTAAAGATTCAGTATTAGAAATTCTGGGATTAATTACCTATCACACAGGTATAAGATTGTTAGGTTTTTATACCTAGCTAGGTAAATTTCGGGAGGGCAAAAAAACGAGAGAAAAAAAGGGATGTTCTCGAAAAAAGGTAGTTATATACAGGGTTGTCCGAATTCTTTTTAGGAAACTTCGGCAGCATATTCTACAAATAAAAATAATGAAAAAGTTTATACAAATGTATACAGGGTGCTACATATTCGAGGTTCGAGCATTGGTATCTCGGTAACCGTAATAGATACGAACATGTTTAAATTGGGGCAAAGTTGCGCTTTGGGAGGTTCACCAAGATGCCATCAAAAAAGTTTTAAACATTTCAAGGATTGCTGAGTTTTTTGGAAAACCCGGATTTTTTTGTAAATCAAATTTATTTTTTCCTGTCGATATTTTTAGAAAATCAAAAAACTAATTGCACATTCTCACAACCACTTTATTAGGGCTATCGGATTGTTTTTTTCAAATTAGCTGATAATTTATGAGATACATAAGCTAACTCTTGTGGAGTAGAGCAGTGGCGGATATAGAGGGGGGGGGGCCATGGGGCCCGGGACCCCCTAAAATCTAAAGTGTGTGTTAAATATTAGGCTTTTGGGTTAAAAATGGCACCCTAAAAAGCATATTCTACATTACTTTTTATTTTGCCCCCCCCTAAAATAAGTTCCTGTATCCGCCCCTGGAGTAGAGTGAAAAAATGAACATTTTTTGTATTTAGAGTATTTCAAAATTTTTAACGGTTTCGCAGATATTTGCATTTTATATTTCATATGACATTTTCCACAGTAAATTTTTATCAAAGCCACCTAATAATTTATCTCTCCTATTTTACCATTGAAAGCGCCATATGAAATAATACTGCATGTATCTGCGAAACCGTTAAAAACATTGAAATACCCTAATTAGAGAAAATGTTCATTTTTAAACTCTCGATATAATAAAAAAATGATATACAGGGTGTTCCGTTTAAAAAAACAAAGAAAAAATATTTTATATTTTAGATAGAAGATAGATTTTTCATAGAAGTTTGGCGTAGAATATTGAACATCCTGTATGATTTACGATTACCATATTTATAGCAAAGTAAGAACAGACCATCTAAAGTAAATACCTAATATCGTTTTGATTTCAGAACAGTTCTTGTATTTTTAATATTTTTTTAAGAAGGGTTGAAAAATATATATTTTTGATTTATTTTTTAATATCCCTGAAACTATCGAAATATATTATTTATTATAGGTTATATATAATTATCTTAGGGTTATGTAAAGTGATCTGAAAGGAAGCCAAAAATGCAATAATACACAGGGTGTACCATTTAAAAACAAAGCAAGAGAGAAAACTCACATTTTTTTGAGCCACTCACACTTTTTTGAGCCACCCTATAGAAGTTAAAATATTTTCCTGAAATGCATCCTGGTACATACTTTAGGTTTGCACTTAAACAAAATTCCTAACTTTTTTATTATAGGAGCTACAGATGCCCGACGCACTATTGGCAGACCCTGTATAATAATATAATTACATTGCCAAAGAAATCAATATAATATATCAATAACAATCTATCAGAGAATGAAAACGAAGTTACATTACAATAGAAACGCGTTTTGATTTTTGGGACTTCAAATATATTTTTTAATGTTTCTCTAAAATAGTATGGACATTTGGAAAAGTATAAACGGGATTAACCATTTTAGAACAAGCAAAACTTTTTACGAAGAATGCATTTTTTTCAAAATGTCAATAATAAAAAAGTTTTTCCTTTTGTATAGACATTTTCATTTTTGTTTTGATTTTTCCCAAATAATTTTTGAACTAACGTCAATATTTGTATGAAAATTGGTGTATGGGTTTTTCCGGATCCGGGACAACATACCTAAATCCGGGATTTCTCTGAAAATACCGGACGTCTGGCAACCATAATCACACATGTGAATAATTGGTTATCATAGTTTTTTGACATTTTTTCACATCCTAAAATAAAACGTCATAATATATAGAGATTTTTTCTTCCAAAACATGAGCAGAAGATTGCGTATCGAAGAAGAAAAACTTAAACAACTAAAAGATGAGTTACAAGAGGAAGAAGACAAATTAAAACTACAACTAGAAAGAATATTTGGTCCGCTGGTTTGGAGGCGTTTACAGAACGGAATCAAAATACAGGATTTGCAGGAAAAACATTTCCAAGAAGCGGTTGATTTAATTCTGGTTAAAAATATGCACGTGTTGTTTTTTTTTGTTTAGTTTAAAATTATTGCAGGAAAATTATATGCAGGAAGATATTCTCTTTCGAAATACTACGATAAAAAATGATTTGGCATCGCAAAAATCATTTGCGGATAGACTAATTTTCAAACTTAAAGACCGTGCATCAATTATGGCTATCGACGAAGGTATTGTATAATAATGTATATATTTACTTTACATATTGATGACTTTAGCAAATGTGAGTACTTCAAAGTATGATATTCAAAAAACTAATGGGAAAAAGAATTAATGAAATGTTTCCTTTAAAGCTGCTCTTACTTTTCCGGAAAAAAATATTGGAAATTGAAATGGTGTACGTGTGTTTCTAAAATAAGTATATCATTTTATCAATCTGATTCATATCTTCAGAAGATTATACAACTCTATGTATATTTTTCCTATATAGAAGAATGTGATTAAAAATTGGCGCCGGGAGGCACGTATAGCCGCCCATACTAAAATATGTTAATAAAAAGTTGGTAGGCAGTTCTTTTAGTTTCAAAGTAGAGGAATTTTTCCAATTTTTTTTATCTCAAAAACTGCGTCTTTGACTGATTTTGATGTTATTACAAATTTTGTTGCAAATATTATTCCTAATCTTAAATTGAAAACCGCGTTTCGCTAGCTATTGTAATTTTGGAGTTACGATTTTTTAAAATTTTTAACCCCCATACCCCCTTACTAACACCACACCCACACAAAAACTAATGGCCAGATTCTCGGGTGCCACAGTATTTTTGTGCCAAATTTGGTTAAAATCGGTTTAGCGGTTTTTGAATTATCGTGTTACAGACGGACAGACAGACGGACAGACGGACAGACAGACACCATGAAAATATTTTGTATTTAGGTCATTTATGACCCAAATAACTCATTCTGAGTGAAATTAAATAAACTTTTTTTTGCCGATCTTAATAGCCTACAATACCTAATGGTATGGTCGGCTAATAAGTGAAATCATTAAATGATCGTCGCTTGGTGGCCATATTGTAATTGTCATTTTTTGAAATATTAATTGAGAAGTCAATTCTGTCAGTTCCACAAAATATCACGTCAATTATAATAATTATTTAAGATAAGAAGGATATATTATGTACTTTATTTATCCCGAAACATCTTCTGGTATTACATTCGAAAATTAAATGCGTTACATATACTATTGTATTAAGGACAGTAAAATTAAGTTTTTTTCTTGCAAATAACTTTCTTATCGTTTGCATTTTATACCCATACTATTTGTTTAGGGCTTTTGTTCAAGTCTAAATATTGGTACCTGACACCCGACCGATCAAGACCGATCTCCCTATGCCAAACAAATCAGTCGTATTACGATCCGATTCAATTCTTACGATTCTTTTTCACGGCTCATCGTTCTTATCTTATAGATCCGTGCTGCTGTGCTGGCCACGATTCAATTGAACGAACCGTATTGTATGTAATGAATTAACTCTCACGATTTTTTGAACGACCGAGTTACATTATGATCCGATTCAATTCTCACGATTCTTTTTTACGGCTCATCGTTCAAATCTTATGGATCCGTGCTGCCGTGCTGGCCACGATTCAATTGAACGAACCGTATTGTATGTAATGAATTAACTCTCACGATTTTTTGAACGACCGAGTTACATTATGATCCGATTCAATTCTCACGATTATTTTTTACGGCTCATCGTTCAAATCTTATGGATCCGTGCTGCCGTGCTGGCCACGATTCAATTGAACGAACCGTATTGTATGTAATGAATTAACTCTCACGATTTTTTGAACAACCTAGTCACATTATGATCCGATTCAATTTTCACGATTGTTTTTTACGGCTCACCGTTCAAATCTTATGGATCTGTGCTGCCGTGCTGGCCACGTTTCAATTGAACGAACCGTATTGTATGTAATGAATTAACTCTCACGATTTTTTGAACGACCGAGTCACATTATGATCCGATTCAATTCTCACTAAATACGAAAATACTTTAAAAATGTATAATATAAACTAAATTACAATCGTGAACACTATTTTATTTTAAATTAAACTATACTCAAAGCCATCACAAATAACTTCGCTCAGAAAACAATACTATTAATTAGCTTTTTTAAAGAAGTTCTAAATGCACTTATTATTGCTTTCGATGTAAGTCTAGATTATAATATAATATATGCTGTGCGATTTTGCAATCCTGTAAATATATCTCCTCCTCCTCCAGTCAAAAGCAAAACAACAAAAAGAAGAAACTATTTAAAATGTCTAAATATGGCTGAGGATACTTTAGCTTTTACCACAGACGTCTATTAAAAACTTTTTACGTTCTGTTAAAATGACATTATATGAAATCAAATTTCCATTTAACCTCATAATTACCTAACGAATAGGGTTTCTGGTTTCTCGACCTTTATTATTTTTAAATTTTTGATTATGATGCGTACAGATCCCGAATTCTGCAACTTAGAAAACGCAAGCGTTTTTAGACGCTCAGCGTATAAGACGTTAATTTTTGCTTAGCGTGCCCTTAACTACCGACACAGCTACCGATTTGGGTATTCTCATCTGACGTGCTTAGTGTCATTACTGATTTCGCTAAGCGATTCGAAAACGGCTACCTTAAAGAATCGTTTTGCTTGTCGAACTGACAGTAAAAATAGAAAAAAAATTGATTTTGCGACTCAGCTTTGTGAACACTCAACTTGAAATGTTTATGTTAATGGAGATTTTAAATTTTGAATTGTCCTTGTTTTTGTTTGTTGTTCGCTGAATGTTCGCATGTTAATATTGTTTTCCTATATTTCTTAGTTTTTTTTTCTGATATGCTATGCATGTTTGATGCCCTATTTATTTGACTATTAATAAAATAAAAATATCAAAAATGAAAGTTCCCATTTAGCCATTTTTGGTTTCAACCATTTTTTGGCATTTTCCTGTAAAATAAGTCTCATGTTGTTTGGCGAACGCTATGGCTCTTGTCAGAGACGAGTTAACAACTTTATGAGGGTATTTTGGGCGTAATAGTAGGTACAACAGTGGTTTGTTAAATACTAATTTTATTGAACTATTTACTAATTACAGCTATTTATAATAAACTAATAAGTAATAAGTACGTAAATAATAACAATAATACATACAATTAACTGTATAAAAACTGCTGAGTCCATATTTCGTCGAAGGAGAATATATTACCTGCTTTTAGCACGGTTGATACCAAAGATATTTAAACTCAAGTTGATACTATAATAAATAACACTTTATTGTACAAAAGCCAAAATAGCTTCATTGACAAATCATTTACAAAACAAACAAAAACACAAAAAATATACAAATAATAAGATCTAACCTAGTTTCATACAACTCAAAAAAAAACGACATTAAAATCACAAATAGAACATGCATGGACATTGTAGAATACAAAAAAACGTATCAATAAAAATTTTACTATTTTAAAATTGTAAATGGTTATAATCACTTAATAGTTATTATAAAATATTAAATACTAGATTTTTAACCACTTTGTGAGAATGATCAAAATTTTAAAATTCAAAATTGTTCAAGATTAAATATCCACAAAAAAGTCGTTAGAGCGCATATAGGACCCTCTCCAGTAACCAGTAAGTATGATTTTAGAGCTTTGCGAAATGCCGGAAAGAATAAAAGCGACTTGATATCCAAAGGCAGGTGATTGTACATGTTTTGGCATTGTGCAGTATTCAGCCTTTAACTAATTCTGAGCTCGGGGTTGGCAGATCAAGATCGTGCTCCGCATTCCTAAGTGGATAGTTGTGAGGTGGCTTTTCGGGAATAGCAGATATGTGCTTGCGGATTAAGCAAACGGATTCGAATATGAATAGAGAAGGAAGAGTCAGTATTTTGAAATTTTTAAAGAAATTCTGGCAGTGAGTTCTACTGTTCAGTCCCAATAAATATCGAACTGCTCTCTTTTGAAGTTTGAAATAACGATCAAATTTTGTCGCGCAGCAAGAATGGAAGGGCATAACGAAGATGCGACTCAAAAAAGACATAATAGACTATTCTAGAGGTTGATAAGTTAAGTTCCTTAGAAACTATCTTAGCGCAAAACAGGCAACGCTTAGTTTCTTTGATAAAGCTTCGATGTGCAAGTCCCATTTTAACGAGTTGTCTACAAGTGTCTACTAAGAATTTCACAGAATCCACGACGTCAATAGTTGTGTTATTAAGTAAAAAAGGTTGTATAGTACTTTTATATGACAAAAGTTTAGTTTTTGATAGGTTGAGTTTCAAATAAGTTATACTGAGTGAGTTTCTGTGAGTGAATTTTCTAATGACTGCTGAGTTTCCTAACATGAATACAAAGGAACTTGGAATGTAAATTTGAAATTATAAAAAAATATAGATTTAATATTAAAATTATTAGATATGTACGAACCACAAATATAATGTCTAATGCATTAAATGTCTTTCTGCCAGACTCTTGCGGCATGGATGGCATGGAGCGGGATTTTAACAAAACAACTCTAAGCATCTTTTCTTCAACTCTGTAAAACTTAGAATGTTTTTTTTTCTTGAAATTGAAACTTGCGGGGCTTCTGGAAATGTGTATGGTAGTTCAACTGTTGGAGTTACTTGTTGGCTTGAGCTATTTATTTCTGTCTTGTCCGTCAAAACATGCCTCGTATATGGATTTTTCCTTTCTCAATCGTTTTCTATGCCTCTGATTTCTGATTAACTTTCTACGGACTATTGTAGTTGTAGTTGTTAGGCTATTACAATGAGGTAGGTACTGACAAGCTAACTAAATGTTTTGGTTACATTTATTCTGTTTTATCGCTTTCGTTGCATATTATTTGATATTATGGCCATGTTTGCATATTAAAGAAAATGCTTTCTTTACATATTGTAACTATAATAGGGATGGGCGATAATGAATTTTACTTATCGATAAGTTCATTCAGAAAAAAAACGGCGCCAAATAAATCTGGGGAATGATAATCGATAATAATTTTAGGGAGTGCCAATCGACCTAAAGAAGGTTTTAATGAAACGTTCTATTCTTTTTAAAACTTTTTATAATTAGTGTTAATTTTAACAAGTTTTATGCCAATTTTTAGTAAATGGTGTCTAGAGATTGACGTCGCCGAAGATTTCATATATTTTCATTCCCCAGTTTTTGACATCGTTTTTTTTTTCTATAATACGACATTTAATAAGCAAATTGGTGCCAAATTCAACCAACTGGAAGTGTCAGGATATAGAAAATAATAAACAAAATAAAAATGGTATTTACACTCAGATGCAAAAAAACGCAACGTTAAATTTTTTCGTCAAATTTAAAGTGATATATTTTCTTTACTTTTAGCCCTAGTTTCATTTTTTTTAGCAACCTGTATCCTTCCGGGCCGCGTAATTACTATCTGTACTATTGTGCAGAGCCAACCTGCTTTATACGCCGGTAGACTTTGTAATGGAGGACTACGCATTTCTTTAAATATTTCTAACTAAACTAATGTACAGCGCACGCAAACTCTGCATCGCAGTATTGGTAGTAAATGTATAATAAGCCGTGTCTACTTACGCCTAACTATACTTGAGCGCAGATCATGATCGCGATTTGTTTTTCGGTGTACGAGATAACCAAAGCATATTGGCCATCATATAACAAAAATCAAAAATCTACGAAGAATTAGGAATAAAAATCAGCATAAACGAAGAACCGCTGGTAATTGCTAACGCCGATAATGATCAGAGCTCATGAGAGAGTATTTACAAGTGAAATGGTTTTTATCGATAGTAGTGGTTCATGCTCAGGTTCATGTGACCAAATGAATTAATGCGTAATTTTTGTCTTCGCTGCACATAAAACTGGCTCCATACCTTTTGCGTGTATAATATATAGAACAAAGTGAAGTAAACTATACGATGATTTTTTCGTTGCTGCAGAAAATTTTAGGACACGGCTTTGGTAAGAAAGGGTTCCTTGCTTCGCCTTATTACCGATGATTCGTCAGCAGAGAGAAACGCTCTTCGCACTGTATTTCCTAATTCTTTATATTATACCATAGAAGAATTCGAGTACGAGTATCAAACTTTCATTAAAAATGATTTTACAAAAAAGTATGATAATTTAAAAAAGCACGTACATGATCTATATAAAAGAAAACATGAGGGGGCGCATGCTTTTAAAACCGATATAATCACAAGGAGTAAGTCAAAAATAAAATGATAAATTGTCAGTACAAAAGTAAATAAAAGGTTTTATCTTGGCCTAGCACGCGTAGCGTAAATATAGTATGTTTAGAAGCTTTTAAACACGGCTAATTACACATTTACTAACAATACGGCGACGGCGATGCAGGGCTTGCTTGCGCTGTACATTAGTATAGTTAGAAATATCTAAAAACGCGTAGTCCTCCATTACAAAGTCTACCGGCGTATAGAGCAGGTTGGCTCTACAGAATAGTACAGATAGTAATTACGCTCCCGGGCCTCATGGCCCCCTGTGTATCCGCCCCTGGTAACAATAATTGAAAAAATCGCAAAATGCTTGTGGCAAGTTCATTTTACTCTTAAAAATTAACCAAGACATGTGTTGATATGTGTCAAAAAACAAAATATTCAGGATACATAGTTCTGACCGTTGAATAAGAAGACTAAGGAAGGAGCATCTCAAAAATCTTTGGTCCACCGCTATGGGACTCAAATATGGCCGACTTAAATTCCGGTTTATCAGTGCCGTTCTAATTTTATTTAAAAAATGTAAAACGATGATGTAGGGTAGACGTGGGGTAGACTCAATATTTTTTTTTATTTTACGTTGTGAACAGGGCCGGCGGAAGGGACGGGCCAACCGGGCGGCCGCCCGGGGCGCCCTATGCTAGGGGCGCCGCGACAGCAACTGAAATATTTAGCCAGATAGAGTACTCGCCCGGTCTCAATATTTTCCTTCCGCCGGCCCTGGTTGTGAATAAATGTTGGTAGTTATTAAAATTATTATAAAAACATATTATTATAATAAAAATTCTCCAGTCCTACGTTACATAGTCTACCGGCGTATAGAGCAGGTTGGCTCTGATAGTAATTACGCTCCCGGGCCTCATGGCCCCCTCTGTATCCGCCCCTGGTAACAATAATTGAAAAAATCGTAAAATGTTTGTGGCAAGTTCATTCTACTCTTAAAAATTAACCAAGGCATGTGTTGACATGTGTCAAAAAACAAAATATTTAGGAGACATGGTTCTGACCTTTGAATAAGAAGACTAAGGAAGGAGCATATAAAAAATCTTAGGTCCACCGCGATGTAACTCAAATATGGCCGACTTAAATTCCGGTTTATCAGTGCCGTTCTAATTTTATTTTAAAAATGTAAAACTATGATGTAGGGTAGACGTGGGGTAGACTCAATAATTTTTTTTATTTTACGTTGTGAATAAATGTTGGTAGTTATAAAAATTGTTATAAAAACATATTATTATAATAAAAATAGATAAGTTTTAATAACTATTTATTAACACAAACATCCGATACGCTACTGAAGCAGGTAAGTCAAATTGACGTATCTAAATTCTTTGACATCTAATCTTTGACAAGTAGTAGTAAATAAAAGCAAAAATGCAAGAAAAAATATATAATTAGTTAATTTAAGTGAATTTCATAAATGATGGGTTTACTACACGTATGAGTCTTTTTCGATAAACCACGATAGTGTCACTGTTAATTTAAGTTCTGCCACACAATTTCCATCTAGATTTACTATAGCTTTATACAACTATCAGTAGTAGAATAAATAATAAATAACATAAAATTAGCTCCGTAAAGACTGACAAATCCACAAAATTTCAAATCAAATTCAAATGTGTCAAATGAATCGTCAAACATAACTGTCAAGGATCCCCACACTAGAGTCCTTTTTCCGCCCACCATGCATGAATACATGGATAGCATTATGCTCTTTCCTTAGTCTTCTTATTCAAAGGTTCTGACCGAAAAATAATATTTTAGGAACATTTGCTCACGAAATTATTGCACAGGGTGTTTTAAAGATAGGGTAACAAACAAATCTTCGATTAACCCTGTATAGTAAGTCAAATACCAAAGTTTATCATAAATTGAGTTTACGAATTAAAGTTGATAAAAAATCAAGGAAATAAGGCCAAAATTTAAAAAAATATAACATTCTAAACTTCACCAAAAAATTTTCCGTTGCGTTTTTTATTGTATCTGAGTATATACTGAATGCACGGGTGTTTCAAAGCATAGGTTGCGTGAAAAAATTGAAATATTTATGAATTATTAGAGAACGGTTAATTTTTTTCATAAACAGTTGAATATTTTGTAGCAAACGAAGACTGTCTAGCTGGAGTTTTAGTATTGAACCCTGTTACAAAATGTGATTTTGGCCGTGTGTACAGCAGAACGATGCTCGTTGAAGGAAAAGCCTATAAAAGTATTATAGACTTCATGAATTACATTAACAGAAAAGTGGATGTTTTCGACCAATGCCAATGCGACATATACTTGCGATATTATCTACTCTGTATCAGATCTGACTATAGAAATAAAGGTAATAAAGATTTTTGGATTCAAATTTGTTAAGCAAATACGTTAAATAAGGTACCTGAATAAATAAGTAATAAGGCCCATCAGGTAAAAAGGCCCCTTATATAGGGTGAGTCTTAAGTAAATGCAAATATCTTTAGGGGTGGTATATATTTCGATCCCATAAACATGTGTCTATAAGTCTCTTTTCCGTTTTTTTTAAGTTTTTTTTTAAATTTGATAATTTTCGAAAAATTGATTGGATTTTATTTTTAATTTTTAGTTAAAAATCATAATATATTTTGATATTATGGCAATATATGTAGGTAGTAGATTTAATTTACAAAAATAAAAACCCAGCAAAGACTCTGTGGTTCTCGATATATGATAAAAAAATTAAGTTTTCAAATTAAAATAACTCTATTATTTTGGACTTTAAAGTGATAAAGAGGAAATATATTTTTTATAGAGATCTACCAACACTGAAAATGTTTGCACTTATTTAAGACTCGCACTGTATATAAATCACCAAATGTATCAACACACTAAAGCTTGATTTTCATGCATCCGTTGTCCGACAATACGATGATACGATATTAATTTTATAGGTTGAATTTAAACACTTCGATTGGTTAGAAACGGTTATCCAATCGAAGCCTTTAAATACAACCAATGAAATTAATATCGTATCAAGGTATCGTCGGACAACGGATGCATGAAAATCAAGCTTAACACAGACGCAGCACTGTTGCTTTTACTGCCTTTTATATAATTTTTGAATATATGATGTTTTTTTTTCATTTTTTTTTATATGATTTTTTGTTGATAATGTCAAGCTATAAAGGCTAAGAAATTTAGAAATTTCTTACCTTAAAGCTTCATTCAGAACCTTAAAATTAGTGGAATATATCAATAGTTTTAATTAGCGGTAGAAGTTTGTTCCTCCAATATCAATGTAAGCATTCACAACGTCAAAATCAGTGGTAGTAATCTTCAATTAGTGGAAAAAGTTATCAAACTTTTAACTTTTTCACTAATTATACTTCAAAAGTTGCGAGGAATGTCATTTTGGCCTTTGATTATATTATCATTCGTCAAGAGAAATAATTGGGGTTAGAAATCAAAAGTTTACTGTTTTATAAGCTAAATATTAGGGTTTCTCTATGGATACAACTGATTACCGCTAGTTGTTGCTAGGATATTCTATTAACTTTAACTGCGTTTTAGACCATAGATAAAAGAAAATAATCTTCTATTAAGATAGATATGAAACTTAATAGTAAAATTTTGGTCAAAGCGCCCCTCCGTGTTCTTAGTAGAGACTATGTTTAACCCAGCGCTTTCGCCTTTTCTGCTGTAAATATTTTTTATGTTTATATTTAATTTCAAAGTATTTAGTTTTAAAGTTACACTGATATATCTGTATATCAGAGTAACTTACCAAACCAAACATAAGAATATATATATTTTACAGTTTATTAAATATAAATTTTGACTACAAGGTAGAAAGCAAATCACAATATTTGATAAAACTTACAAGTATACCATTTTTACAGTTAATAAATAATAAAACTATTTCTGACTATGATATTTAAAATTTAGATAGATAGAATATTAAAAAAACATACCGGGTATTTGCTGTCGCAGGCCCAAATTCAATAAAAATCAAAATTTTTTCCTGCGAAAACGGGCTTTTTACAGAAAAGGTATTTTTGATTTATCAACAATCATTGTCAAGTTGACAATATACAGGGTGTTTTCTAATTAGTTTAAAAATTGTGATGTGATTCCTCATGTCTTAAAAACAATTTTTATATAACCATTGGATCTAAAGTACTTCCTTCCTGATCTACAGGGTGTTAAAAATTAAAAAAAAATCGATATTTTGCTTAACATAAATGGTACACTACTGTTTTTTTAAAGAAAATATATTTTTTTCTTGACTGGCCATCCTTTTTCAACAAAATTGATCTTTTGAGTTTTTCTTGTTCATCAAACGGTTGCCGAGAAAAAGATAAATATACTTATTAAGAGCCCGCCTTAAGCCGTTTTCTAACGATTTTTTATTTTTTAGATTAATTAGGAAACACCCTGTATATGCATATCACAGGCAACCAAATAAACTAGTAACTTCTAAAAAATATTTTTCCTACCACTAGTGATACCACTAATACCGTGTTTTTAGTGAGTACTCAATTATTATATCAAAATTTCATCATATAAGTTTCCAGGCAATGGTTTTAGACATTGGGAATGATCGTATACTAAAAACTTTGAATAAGAAGACTAAGGAAGGAGCATATCCAAAATCTTAGGTACACCGCGATGGGCCTCAAATATGGCCGACTTAAATTCCGGTTTATCAGTGCCGCTCTAATTTTATTTAAAAAATGTAAAACTATGATGTAGGGTAGACGTGGGGTAGACTCAATAATTTGTTATTTTATTTTACGTTGTGAATAAATGTTGGTAGTTATTAAAATTGTTATAAAAATATATAATTCTAATAAAAATAGATGTTATAATAAGTATTTATTAACACAAACATCCGATACGCTACTGAAGCAGGTAAGTCAAATTAACGTATCAAAATTCTTTGACATCTGATCTTGACAAGTAGTAAATAAAAGCTAAAATGCAAGAAAATATATAATTTAGTGAATTTAAGTGAATTTCATAAATGATCGGTTTACTACACGTATGTATATTATATAGTCACTCACTAGCGAAAAGTTGTTCAATTATTTCACTCAATTTTTGCCGAGATCTACCGCACGCTACACAACCAACTATTGTCTTTTTCGATAAATCGCGATAATGTCACTGTTAATTTAAGTTCTGCCACAATTTCCATCTAGATTTACTACCTTTATACAACTATCAGTATTAGAATAAATAATAAATAACATAAAATAAGCTCCGTAAAGACTGACAAATCCACAAAATTTCAAATCAAATTCAAATGTGTCAAATGAATCGTCAAACAGAACTGTCAAGGATCCCCACACTAGAGTCCTTTTTCGCCCACCATGCATGAATATATGGATAGCATTATGCTCTTTCCTTAGTCTTCTTATTCAAAGGTTCTGACCGAAAAATAATATTTTAGGAACATTTGCTCACGAAATTATTGCACTTTATAATATATATTGAGAGCTTTTTCCGCCCACCATGGATAGCCACATGGATAGCATTATGCTCCTTCCTTAGTCTTCTTATTCAAAGACTAAAAAGTATAAAGTGTAATTGAAACCCCTAATTTATTCCACTAATTGCGAGGTTCTGAATGAAGCATTAGCCTTTTGCACCGAAGACTTTTAGAGCCAAAATTACAGTAAAAAAAATAAAAATACATATTTTAAATAACTTTCGATATATTGTTTTGTAATTTGTAACAATTTGTACCTACTTCAATGCTGTATTAGTTATCTACATATAAAATGCAAATGTTTATCTGTGTCGTCTCTACTGAAGTAACGACTTCCTCTAGAAAGTTGTTTTTTTTTTACTAAAATATAGTTAATTGCTCGGTCTTTGCCTCGGTTAATTGGCTCTCCTAAAAACTGTCATCGCCGGATTTTTTGTTTTTCATTTAATTTAAAAAAATATATTGATGTAGTGTCCTGATGTCGTGGCGCATGCGCCAGGCTTCAACTTGTTAAACTATAAATTACTAAGGTCTAAAAGCACAGATAACATAGTATAAAAGACATTTCAATGTACAGGGTGGTCGAAATTGGTCTGTTTTAACAGGGAAACCCTATTTCCTGACTAGATAGAGCAAAACCGACATAGATGTCATGGGCTCGATTTCTGAGACACGTTTAATGGCATAAACCGCCTGTTGATATTTTCACTGCCAACTGAGATACGGGGTCTTTTTGATTTATTTACCATTTTGAAAATTGCCCATAACTTTTTTATTTCGTGGAATAATAAAATTCTGTAAAGACGTTCTTAAGGCACTTTTTTAAGCACAATCCAGTGGCGTAGTGAGTTTTTTTCTATGCTTGCTCTTATCGTCAGAAATAATAAAAAATATAATTTTTAAATGGAAATCATAGTTGGCTATGAACTTAAAAAAATGCTGACGTTTAACCATTTCGAACGATATAAAGTTATGGGTACCTATTTCTAAGAATGAGAGAAATATTAGGTTTTTATCTTTGTATCGAAGTATGCCTCGATTTTGTGTTGCCTAGTTGTCTAATTATTTTTTATCGCAATTTAATATACTATATTATTATTTATTTGCATAATTAGAGAATTTTGAAAAGGTAAATTAACATTCTATATTAGTTTTAGTAATTACAATTGAAATCGATACAATAAACAAAGAACAAAGCTAAAAAACGTATTTTTTTAGTGACGAATATAGTTTTCTAAAAAAAAATCATCTAAAATGTTCAAATTGAGCACCTCCTTGTTGAATACATAATAAATATCTTTTGCGCACAGAGTTACAGCGATTTATTAGGCGAACTGGCTAAGTCCAAAAGCTTGCCTAGTAGCCTTCTGCAATTCTTCTCTCGTCCCAATGGTTCTTCCCTTATATATAAGGTTCTTTAATTTTCCCCATAAAAAATTAGAAAAAAGTGAAATCACAGGACCTAGCAGGCCAAGATATGGGGTCCCTTGTTCCAATCCGATTCTTTCTAAATTCTTCATTTAATGGCGTTTCAATTGTAATTGGTAAAACTAATATATAATGTTGATTTATCTTTTCAAAAGTCTTTCATTTTGCAGATAAATAATAATATAGAATATGAAATTGCGATAAAAAATAATTAGGCAACTAGGTCAACACAAAATCAAGGCCCGCTTCGATACAAAGATAAAAAATCCTAATATTTCTCTCATTGTTAGAAATAAATACCCATAACTTTATATCGTTGCAAAGGGTTAAACATTAGCATTTTTTAAGTTCTTACATCCATTGCTGATACGCGGATAACAGAATTATGAGGATAGCAAGAGGAATTTCCCAATTAGTACAAAGAGGCACCGGAAGGCCTAAAAAGCGTTGATAACATATTTCAGGAGAAATTAAAAAAGTAGAAAAAAGACTCAAAGTCTCGGTCTCAACGTTTATACAATGTTAAACTGTTACACGTGTTTCGCTCATATACGAGCATCATCAGACAAATACAATTAAAATTAATCCAAATACACGTTCACATTTTACAATTAAACCTTAGTGTTGTTCTAATTGAACCAGGTCTCTTTGAGAAAAATGGATGCATTCTTTATATTTCAGGAGATTCACAAAAGGCAAAAAATGAAAGAAAAAGGAGCAGCATGCCTATATATCTCAAATTAGGAGAAAGACAAGACACTATCAATAACTCCGTTAGGTATATTTATTTTTATTCTAAAGATTAAATGTATCATTACTTCTAAGTATAATCAGAGACTGATCATCGGCGTTCACAGCTTTATTCTACCCTTAATCACGGTGACTCTCTTGTATATTCTATTTAATTTTTATTTTACCATATATTAACTACTTGATTTGTAATATCATCGTCCCATTCTAGATTAGGCTATCTTGTGAGTCCTTTTACGTTCCTCGGATATCACAGTGTAATTTTGGTGATTCATCTTTTGTCGGTTCTTAATGTTCTTTAAACTGCCTACTCTGTTCGAGGGATTTAATTAAGTAGATCAAATCTGCTCTGTTATATTTGGTCACCAAGTATTGTGGATAACTCATTTTTATTCCAGACATACGTTTCAATAGGCAAATTCAGAGGCTATACCACAATTTACTTTTCTCCCCTCACCAAATTTCCTTACGGAGATGTATTAAATATCATCACAGATAACATATAATTCTCTCTAAGTTTACTATGTTATCTGTGATATCATGCTCTAGCTCCTCAACAAGTTAATTTCTAGATTGGTTTTTGAACTTAATTTTTTAGATAAAAAATTAAATTGAGTTTGCTATTACATCTGATTTTGTCATTAAAGTTTTGTATCTTATATTGTGGATAATATTATCGTAATTTTATTATATATTCCGCATTCACGTTAAGATTTGGGATGATATTATGATATGCATTGTTGTTGTCCTTCTTTTGTGTTTGTTGGTTCTCTAAAACCATTCTGCAATATGCATTTATATTCTTGACATTTGATTTAAGTTCAATTCCGTTAAATATAATTTGCTTCACGTTTTGTTTTTTTAAGTACTGATATCAAGGAAAATGTGAGCTCTAATACAATTTTAGTAAAAAATGTCTATATCTCTGTGGCGGATTCATCTCTCCAAAAAAGTCCTATGGGTATTTCGCCACTGTAAGAAAATACATTTACAATTTTAGTACCTAAAAATAAACAAAAATTAAAAATGAAAATAGTGTTTGATGACAACGAGATTTATTAGTAGACATATATTATTTTTATTCCTGTCTAATACATTACATTTTCCTAACTGTAAATTGTTAACTTCGCTATTGTTCGGAAATATTGTCTTTGAAATATTCTTTAACATAGGTAATAATTTCTTTACCTTTGTTGATAGTGAATGGAAATGTTAAACTTAAGATATACACATTAATTAAAGATGATTCTCAGGTAGAACTTTATTGGTGTACATAATGTATATATATGTACTTAACGACCTCGATTTAAAAACTTATATATTTCCAGCTACATCGATTTTGCTGTTTTGAAATCCCCTGATTTACAGGTTGGCGTTTCATGTAAGGGGTAAGCATTATCGTGTGTTAGCGGTTAAAAGAGCCATATTAAGTTCCATTATTAAGTAAATAGTGAAGGTTTGTATTTGACTAATAAAACTACCCAAAATACTTGAAGCCTGAGTTGTGAAGTACATAAGGAACCTTGCGAATTATACAACAGTGAGAGATTTTTGTTTGTAACAGTGTTTTGTATCTTTTAATATTCGCAATATGCAGTTTAAAAGAAATGATAAAATATATAGACTGTGAAATGCAAGGCCAAATTTCAAGGTGTGATTCTTCATCAAAAAATATGAGAAGTTGCTATAAATATGGGTCCGGGAATTCATAGTTTTAAAGATACTGGATGTTAAATCTTTTAAAAAATATTTTTTGTAATTTTGTGAAATATCATTTTTTTAACTAAATACAACCAGCAATAAAGTGGATTTCAAAATGAATTTACCAAAAACTAAAGTTATGTACAACGAACTAGTGAAAAGTAAAGACATTCTAATAAATAACACATCACTGGAAATAGTAGAATATATATATTTGGGATAACTAATACACAGCTCTGGATTTTTACAGCCAGAAATTACCAGAAGATTTAAGTTAGCATGGAGTTCTTATGGAAGAAACTCAATCATATTTAAAACTAGAATGTCACTCTACCTAAAGAAGAAAATATTCGACCAATGTGTACTACCAATAATAACCTATGCATGCGAAACCTAGATATTTAAAACAGACATCATAAGGAAACTGCAGGTTCCACAACGCTCAATGGAACGAAATATGCTGGGAATAACCAAGAGAAATCGTAAAAGAATAGAGTGGATACGACAAAAGATCCAGGTATTAGATGTTATCCACAGATTCAAATCCCCCAAATGGCAATGGGCAGGACACCTGGTAAGAAGGACGGACAACAGATGGACCACAAAAATTACAGCATAGTACCCATGAGGAATTAAGAGACCTAGAAGAAGACCGAACCTGAGATGGGACCATGATATTAGGAAATTAGCAGGGATAACTTGGGCCCGCATAGCCAGTAATAGACAACAATTGGCCCAACAACAAAGAGAGTATTAAGGGGGGCTACACCATAATTGGAAATGGTTGAATAAGCTGAAAATGATGATGATGATTATCATTTTTTTTTAATTTACCATAGGCAACACTCAAGATCAATGTTATAAATTGTGATTTGTTATGAAGTATTTTAATACGTTACTCTATTTGCAAATTATTTTTGCATGTCTCGCAATAATAATTCATTGCATGTCTCGCAATGAATTGCTTTTATTTTATTTTTCTATAAAATAAGGTGTCGCTGGAAACACCACTGAAGTAAATAATTGTAATTTAATTGAGCCTAAATTAGGCCATTATTAT